TAGACAGCTATTTTCTTCTTGCTGTGTAAATTTGTTTAAATTCTTAATATTTGAATACTTTTATGTAATAATAGTGAATCGCGCTGCTTCTCTTGCGAGAAATTAATCGCAATTTCACTCTTTCTCAGCATGTGATTGGCTGTTCGCTACTGACGTCACACCTTAACTCAGGATCAAAGTCTGAGTTTACAGAGAAAGTTGATGATCACTGATCAGCATCATGGTACCAACAAAGCCTGGTTGGATTGGTTTGGTTTTGTCAACTCGAAACTAATCCTGCAACCCTGAGTTTGTTCAACTACCATCATGGTACAGGCCCCGCTTAATCAATCTGAATGGCCAGGCTGGTTTACCAACTGGACAAACTGCAGGTCAGTGGATATTATCCAGTCTGAACCAGTTGGCAATTCACACTAGGTTTCTGTTTCCAGCAGACACAGAACATATGCTCCTTTTCTAGCTGGACAGCAGTTTGTATATTTTTAGATTGGCGTCTCAGCTGGCAGAACACGTGACCACCGACATAAGCATCTCTATAACGCGTGACGCATTTACATTAACATTTATGCATTTGCCAGACGCTTTTATCCAAAGCGACTTACATTGCATTTCAAGGTACACATTTACATTCTTATCAGTTCTTGCTTTGCCCTGGGAATCGAACCCGTGACCTTGACGCAACGGCACATTCACACATCCCATGTTCAGTTAGGGAATATCCACATCGACCTATTTGGGTGTTGAAATCGAAGGACATTACAGCCTTCAGGAAACAAGTGTCAGCGGGATTTTCGCTCATATGCGAGCTTTTGGTAACACGAGAGCGCAATGACACGTGGATCATATCTCAACATCAACGTGCAATCATAAAACACGATATCAACAAAGTTAAATCAGTAACTATATTTTTATGACTAGTACAAGATTTAAAAAGAATGAATGCCTTATTACAAATAGTATCAAAGGGTAGGCCTATTTCCTCTTCTTTTTTTACCCAGCTGGGACAGTTGTGTAGTAGGCTATTACTCTTAAAAAAAAATTATATTTAAATTCTCATACACGATTAAAATTAATCTCGAAGAAATGGGGCATATATATGCTATCCATCGAAATTACATTTCGTACAAATCTAGTTTTAGTTTATCATTTTCTCAGCGCGTTTGAGCGCAATAATCCTGGTGCGCATTTGGAGACGCGCGCTTTACGCACACAGTTAATACTACAAAATGAGACAAATAAACATTTTGATCATTGAATTATAGATCAGTATTGATGTATAGCTATCCATTCTGACGGTCCGCGTCCACTTTTGTCCCAAGCAAGTAATATATTCCATGATCCACAAGCCCAAGAGCTGATGGAAAGCTCTTGAAAGGCAAAAATGGCATTTTCCTCACCTGTTTCCAGAAGTAAATTAAAGGTGACCTTCAGCCCTTATTTTAGGCACTATCATTTAGATGGAAATTCCTTGAAGAATAATGTTTCTGTACGTGGCATCAGATATATTCCTTTTGGGAAATCTTGTGCTCAAACCATTAAAGACCATCTTCGTAAAATCACACAAAGATGAGTGCAGCTCTGGACACCTAGATTTACGAATAAAATAATTTCAAAAGCGTAGCAGCATTAGTTTGATGTCGGGAGGAAACACGGGGAAGATTTTATTCAACAAACCCAACAGTGAAACAACCAGGAGCGCCAAAGACACTGAGATTTTATTTGCTATTCGCTCGCTTACATACAATGTCCAAGCCTGGTGGAAAGCATCGCTTCTGCTTGTGATTTGTTTTACACATTTTGCACTTTTAGACACACAAGTAAAGACTCAATGTAATGTTTGATACTTACTGTAGTCTAAACTGTATCTTAGTAGCCTATCTTCCGCTGAGGGGAGTGTGAGTGTCTGTTGCTGCGGTGGGAGACTCTCGCGCTCTTATGGAGGTTGTGTCAGGGGTGTTTCCACATCTCATCTCATCTATTTCTGGTTGTAGTGTCACGTTACTCTCAGTAGCTCTTGCCATATTTGGCTTTATTAGTCCTCGCTGTGATTCCCGCACGAATGTCACTCCTCCTACACTGAAAAAAAAACAAAAAACAACCGGGAAATCTACCGTAAAAAAAAAATACGGTAGCACATTTTAGGTATTACAGACTTAACTTAAATTTACAGTAATAATACGTATTACATTATCTGATGTGAATTTACCGACCTATTTAAGTAATAATATCTGTTTTGTACTGGTGTAATACACTGACAAGTGACAACCACCAATCACAGTGGTGATGAGAGTCACATGATGAGTCACAGATCAACACAAGCAGCTTTTTCCACAGGAAAGTTAATAGTAATATACACTCACCTAAAGGATTATTAGGAACACCTGTTCAATTTCTCATTAATGCAATTATCTAATCAACCAATCACATGGCAGTTGCTTCAATGCATTTAGGGGTGTGGTCCTGGTCAAGACAATCTCCTGAACTCCAAACTGAATGTCAGAATAAGAAAGAAAGGTGATTTAAGCAATTTTGAGAGTGGCATGGTTGTTGGTGCCAGACGGGCCGGTCTGAGTATTTCACAATCTGCTCAGTCACTGGGATTTTCACGCACAACCATTTCTAGGGTTTACAAAGAATGGTGTGAAAAGGGAAAAACATCCAGTATGCGGCAGTCCTGTGGGCGAAAATGCCTTGTTGATGCTAGAGGTCAGAGGAGAATGGGCCGACTGATTCAAGCTGATAGAAGAGCAACTTTGACTGAAATAACCACTCGTTACAACCGAGGTATGCAGCAAAGCATTTGTGAAGCCACAACACGCACAACCTTGAGGCGGATGGGCTACAACAGCAGAAGACCCCACCGGGTACCACTCATCTCCACTACAAATAGGAAAAAGAGGCTACAATTTGCAAGAGCTCACCAAAATTGAACAGTTGAAGACTGGAAAAATGTTGCCTGGTCTGATGAGTCTCGATTTCTGTTGAGACATTCAGATGTTAGAGTCAGAATTTGGCGTAAACAGAATGAGAACATGGATCCATCATGCCTTGTTACCACTGTGCAGGCTGGTGGTGGTGGTGTAATGGTGTGGGGGATGTTTTCTTGGCACACTTTAGGCCCCTTAGTGCCAATTGGGCATCGTTTAAATGCCACGGCCTACCTGAGCATTGTTTCTGACCATGTCCATCCCTTTATGGCCACCATGTACCCATCCTCTGATGGCTACTTCCAGCAGGATAATGCACCATGTCACAAAGCTCGAATCATTTCAAATTGGTTTCTTGAACATGACAATGAGTTCACTGTACTAAAATGGCCCCACAGTCACCAGATCTCAACCCAATAGAGCATCTTTGGGATGTGGTGGAACGGGAGCTTCGTGCCCTGGATGTGCATCCCATAAATCTCCATCAACTGCAAGATGCTATGCTATCAATATGGGCCAACATTTCTAAAGAATGCTTTCAGCACCTTGTTGAATCAATGCCACGTAGAATTAAGGCAGTTCTGAAGGCAAAAGGGTGTCAAACACAGTATTAGTATGGTGTTCCTAATAATCCTTTAGGTGAGTGTATGTGGCATTATTGGAAATTTATGTTGTATTATTGCAAAAACAAACTCTTCAAAAGACCTCAAACAACAACCAAAAATTCACTGATTGCAATAATGCCACATAAGTTGCCTATATATATATATATATATATATATATATATATAATTTAAAAAATATTCAACACAAAAGCTGTTATAAGAGCAGTTAGCCACATCCAGAAAAACGAATGGATCTCTATGGGATCCCTAACTAACAACTCATATTTAATTTTGATCATCATAAAAGTTTCTTTTCTCATAAAAATGTCATTTTTCATATGCATGCTAATGGTGTAGTTGAGCAATTTTGTGGTAAATATATAAAAAAGTACTTATTCTCCAAAAAACAGCATAAATGTATAGATGAGAAGTAAAAGTGATCTATAATTTGTATTTTCAAAAATGTGTACTTTTTATACATTCGCTCTCTAAATGTTTGGGTTATTGACCCCAAACACCCGGAGTGTAAACTGAAAAAGAGCAGCATATGAGAATATCAAACCATTGTTTTGACATTTGTGGAAAATAGTCTTGTCTTGAAAACACAGTTCAAGCTTTCAGCTCAGTGTTTTCTTCTTAATGCTTGTCCAGGTGTTGCTGGTGCAGTTACTGGTTTGAATCCAACATCCAAAACCACTGCTGGAGAAATGAACTGTGGGGGGTTTGATGACATGAATCTACATCAGTCTGTGTTTCTGTTAGTGCACACTGCCATCCTGTGGACATTACAGCGTAGTGCAATGATCAACAGCGCCATAATGAGAGATGTGCAAGCCAATTACAGGTGAAAGTCGAAAAATTAGAATATCGTGCAAAAGTTCATTTATTTCAGTAAGTCAACTTGAAAGGTGAAACTATTATATTATATAGACTCATACATGGAAAGTGAGATATTTCAAGCCTTTATTTGTTATAATTTTGATGATTATGGCTTAAAGATATGAAAACCTTTTCACAATATTCTAATTTTGAATTTGGGGTTTTCATAAGCTGTAAACCATAATCATCAAAATCATAACAAATAAAGGCTTGAAATATCTCACTTTGCATGTAATGAGTCTATATAATATATTAGTTTCACCTTTTAAGTTGAATTACTGAAATAAATGAACTTTTGCATGATATTCTAATTTTTCGACTTTCACCTGTAAAAGGCCGAGAGCAACAAATCAGGTAATAGATTTTCAACACATCTGTCTTTTACCAAAATCCTGAAACCTTCTGTTTATGAAACAGACTTAAATATAAGAATTCCAGATTTTATCCCAGGTGACATTGATGTGTGTTTGAAACTATGTTTTATACATTTCATGTAAATGTATTTGATAATTCATCAAACGTAGCCTATAGGCCTAACTCACTCCAAAAAGCTTTTTGCATGCAGTATTGAGACACCAGTTTGTTCGGCGAGGAAAGGGTTAAGCGCGAATGTTGCTGACTGTGCACGCGCGCGTGAACTCCCACAGTTCGATCAATGTCTGTCCGCTTCTCTTCTGCCCGTTTCTAGAGGCTCGCGGAAGATTCGGACTATGCCGTTTACGCACTCCAGAGTCCCACATCATCTGTGCTGGGAAACCATATCAGTGACTGTCCAGTTTTAAAATGTATCTCAAGATGCCAAACTTGATTTTAGTTTTATATTTACTTCAAGGACTGACTAATTTTATCAGCGCGCAAAGTTCCGCGCCCTGGAGGAACCGGATCAAGTGGGTGAATAACGGCCAGGTGTTCAGTTTAATGAGCACCGGCTCTGAGTATCACGCACCGGTGCCGTCCAGAAGACAGTCCAGGGTTTATCCGAGCAGAGATGCTTCCCGGGACAGGACCATGCGAATTCGAGTGGAATCGGTTGAGAGACCCACTAACAGCGTACCGGACAGCAGCACCGCGCTTTTGGGCCCCGACCGCATGCAGTATATAGTGGCCAACAGCCGCGCACCGGGTGCCAGACAAACGCATGTGCGCCAGAGGCTCAGAATAGCTCCAGGAGGAACCAGAACCAACGCCACGGTCCTGTCTGAATACTCAGGTGGAGGAAGAGCCCCTGCACAGGGGGGAAATACCGCACGGAGGGCGCCAGTGGTTCCCAATCTCCTACAGCTGAATCCAACGGAGAATCCAAACACCTTAAATTCAGATTATGGAAATAATGAAGCAGATCTCCCCAGAGCGCAAGCTCCAAATGTCCCAGTTGAGCAGGGAACAACGTCTGAAAGTATGGCAGGAGATGATCCACGCAACAGGAATACCGTCTTCTACAACATCTATCCTCCCGGGGGCAGGACGCTCATTCCCCGCAGACCGCCGCCTGGCACCGGGTATGGCACCAGATATTTCCAGAACGGTGAGCTGTGCGTAAAGCACGAATTTAACCTCAACATATGTGGCAATGCGCGGGGGTTGTTTAAAGCGCATGTTTTCATTATAGGTTATGCTTGTGTTGTGCGTGTCTGCAGGTCTTCCGGACCTTGTGCCAGATCCATATTCCATCCAGGCGGGCTCATATATCCAGCGCGTCCAGATGTACGCGCTCCGGTGCGCGGCGGAGGAGAACTGCCTGGCGCGGTGTGTGAATAGGCTTATGAATTATTATCTGTGTAGATTTACAGCGGCCCCTAAAAGTATTTAGATTATAGCATGCCGTTTTGACTTTTAATTATGAATTCTTGATATCAACAATTTAATTTTCACTAGGTAAAATGCTAATTCTTGATATCAGGAATTAAATTTCTACTAGTAAAAATGTTAACTCTTGATATCAACAATGATGTCATCACTGGCTGAAATAGGAATTCTTGATATCAAGGATTAAATTTCAACTAGTAAAAAAAATATGATTCTTGATATCTGTAATTGTATTTTCACTAGTTTAAATTCAATTTATATCCAAATTCAATTGTTGATATAAAAAATTGATTTCTTACTAGTTGAATTTCCAATTTCACGTATCAGAAATACAGTCATTACTAGTAAAAAATAAAAATCATAATATTTATATCAATAATTACGTGGTTACTAGTAAAATTATAAATTCCTGATATCTAGAACTCAATTGTCACTAGTTGAAATGTTAATTCTTGATATCTGTAAATGTATGTCAACATGTTACATTTGTTATTTCTATTATCTGAAAATGTATTTCTGATATCAGTAATTAGGAGAGTAATTTCAGATATCTAAAATGGCTTTCTTACTAGTTACAATCACATTCATGAAATCAGTAGAAATTCAGTTGTTGATATCACAAATTCATATCCTGTGAATGATTAAAAGGCAAAACAGCTTCCCATAATTTGATACTTAACTCGCACTTAAAAATGCCTCAATGACAAAAAATGTGCATGGTGTGCATGTTGAGTTTGCAATTTCTTACCATGTCGAATAGCAGACTTAGTGTATTCTGAAAATAAATGTTGCATGGTTTGAATATTAGTGAGAGGTTTTTAGGCGGTCTGGTTTACTCTACAAACATATCCAAACTTCAATCATCAGTGTTCTCTCATGACCCTGTGATCCATAAGCTCATATCTTTCATGTTTCAGATCTGCGTACAGACCCACGGTGAGAGACATAGACTACAGGGTTCTCCTTCGGTTCCCACAGAAAGTCAGGAACATGGGAACGACGGACTTTCTGCCGGTCAAACCCAGACATCAGTGGGAGTGGCACAGCTGTCATCAGTGAGTTTGAGGAATTATACAGTTGTTATATTATTATAAAATATTACTAAAACCTCCTTTAATGTTGTACAATCACTGCAATTCATGCAAACTGCTTTCATAAAGTTGGAACTACTGCTATATTATAAAATACAGTAATGTTCAATAAAAAAGTTACATTTCTTAGTATTAAAAATCAGAATAAACAGTGCAACAGTTCATTTCACTCCACGGTCCATGCAATCAGAATTTAGAATCGGAACTGTTTATTTTTTAACAAATGTACTATATGTGAGTGATGCAAATCTGTATTATAAAATGTATATCAGTTATGCATATCGATTTTCTAAAATGTATGTGAGTGATGCATTATGTAAGTGGATGCAATATTGTTTTATAAAATGTATGAGTGATGCATATTGGTTCTATAACTAGAGGTGTTATAAATGCTAGGTCAAATCATTATGTACGAGCGATAGTAATTGCTGTGCTTATGAAAACACATGTAAAGTGCATTATTATCAGACTCATGTTGAATCCCACATGCAGGCACTATCACAGCATGGATGCATTCAGTCACTATGATCTCCTGGACATCAGCACTGGACGGAAGGTCGCTGAGGGACACAAGGCCAGTTTCTGTCTGGAAGACACTGGCTGCGATCCGGGATTTCACCGCAGATACGCGTGCACTGCACACACACAGGTACAAACACACACCAGACCAGCAGCGCAACTATTGCAAACATTTCTGTCATATGTGTGACCCTGGAACACAAAAACAGTCCTAAGGGTCAATTTTGTTATATTGAGATGCATATATCAAAGCTGAATAAATAAGCTTTCCATTGATGTATGGTTTGTTAGGATAGGACAATATTTGGCCGAGATACAACTATTTGAAAATCTGAAAACTGAGGGTGCAAAAAAATCGAAATATTGAGAAAATCACCTTTAAAGTTGTCCATTCTAAAAAAATTGGTCAAATATGGACAAACCCAAATGTTGGGTTAAAAATGCAATTTAAAAATTTAACCCAACTTCAACTTTCACTGTCAACTGTAAATTTTACAGTTGACAGTGAAAGTTGAAGTTGGGTTAAATTTTTAAATTACATTTTTAACCCAACATTTGGGTTTGTCCATATTTGACCCAAATTTGGGTTGAAACAACCCAGCATTGTTTAGGGTGTTACAGTATGTTCGCGACTGTGCTGCATTCACTCACAAAAATAAATGTGATATATTTATGGTAGAAAATTCATGGAACACTTCATCTTCATCTTTCCTTAATATCCGAATGATTTTTGGCATTTTGACCCACACAATGGGTCTCATTCATGAAACATTTGTAAATATACGAGTAAATATGAGAGTGATTTGCGCGTAAAGAGACCTTCCCGAAAACTCATCTCCTGATTCATAAATACTTCGTAAACGTCAGATGTGATAGTGAAATGTGTGTGTGTGTGTTAATGAATTCCAATCAGTCGTAAATGGGACGCGCGTGCACGCTTATTCTCAATTACCACACTCTAAAAAATGCTGGGTTGTTTCAACCCAAATTTGGGTCAAATATGGACAAACCCAAATGTTGGGTTAAAAATGTAATTAAAACATTTACAGTTGAAAGTAAAAGTTGAAGTTGGGTTAAAATTTTAAATTACATTTTTAACCCAACATTTGGGTTTGTCCATATTTGACCCAAATTTGGGTTGAAACAACCCAGCATTTTTTAGAGTGCATAAATCCCGCCCATTAAATCCGACTGACAACTATATATGGGCATCATATGACACCAAACGAATGAAAAAGAAAAATTTCTCAGATGCAGAAATCGAAGTTTTATTATCAGAAGTTTATTCAAAACACCACATTTTATCTTCAAGCATACATAGTGCCGTATCGGGTCCTAAATAAAGCAAGCATATTACAGATGCAGTTAATGGAGTTTCATCTGCTAATCAAACAGTCCCAGAAGTAAAAAGAAAAACCGCATGTAATTACTATATATAATATTTTTTCAAAATGCTGTGTAAATATGTACCCGATTAAGGTTAATTAAAATGCAGCCTTAGTTATTAATGAGCAAAACGTTCGGATGTTAAACTCACTATTTACGGGTGGCTGGGAATAGGGGTAGATTTCTTTCGTACCAACTAACATTTGGAAAATACGAACATTTTAATGAATCCGAAAAATTACGCCAGAACCACTTTACACACGATTTACACAAAAATTCTCGTGTTTCATGAATAAGACCCAATGTTTTGGTGGCTATTGCCACAAATACACCCGTGCGACTTATGACTGGTTTTGTGATCCAGGGTCACATGTGTGTTTGGGTTTAATAGAGATATTATTGCTGTATTTTCAGGGTTTGAGCCCAGGCTGCCACGACACATACGCTGCCAACATCGACTGCCAATGGATCGACATCACAGACGTCGCTCCTGGGAACTACATTCTCAAGGTATGATGTGTTTTGAGAAAAGATGATGCTGACGTTATGGCATTTCTGAACCGGACCCTGTTTTCCTGTACAGGTCACTGTCAATCCAGACTACCTGGTGCCCGAGTCGGACTTCTCCAATAACGTTGTGCGATGTGAGGTCATTTACACTGGCATTTACATCCAAACAAGAAACTGCATCATAACTGGGTGAGAAAATGTTTTGTTTTTTTTGTTTTATTGCAGCACATTAATATTGTAATCAGAGCAATAATCCACTACATGTATTTCTTTCTCACTGTTTCCACAGGAGTTAAAGCCCTTGGGTCGGGTCAACAAGATGATTTTTTTTAAAGGCCTATGTAATAGGTTTAACTATAATAATTTAACTTGAAACATTCCTTATAGATGTTGGAATAATATTTAATGACAAACGTACTGTATCTATTTTATACGAGTTAGCAAGTGTTTTTGTGATGTTTGCATTTCTTTTTGCAACATTTATTTTAAATTTTTAACTTTAATTAGTATGTTGCTTTTTAGCGTTCGTATTTATTACACAGATTATAAAAAATATACGCATTTTCTTATATTAGCTATGATATTGAGGGACGTTTTGTGTTATTTAGACTTTCTATTAGATGGTGAATTCCCAGTGGTCGAGTGTTTTCCTCCAGCGCAGAACGCTTGTGTAAAATATACACTTGAAATATTCATAAGGTTCGGTTTTCCAGGTGTCCTTCGATATTTCTGTGCAACATCTTGAAAGACTTTGCTGCGTGTTTCCTTTGTCTTTGCCATGATTATAAGAATCGTTCCATAAATCCCGGACTTGGATGGACGAAGTCGTTCGTGGCTTGATATGCAATAAACAGAAATGGAGAGAATGTAATACAGAAAATGGATTGTGGTTCTTTTCTAAACTCCTTCTTCATTAAATCACGGGTTCATTCAATACAGTAAAGTTCAAATGAGCTATCAGGAGAAATGTTTAAACAGGAATGAAGGCATTATTGAAGTGTAGATGTGGGATGAAAGCGTGTGGAATGAGAGACGGAGCCAAAGACATCAGAGTCTGAGAGCTTTTACTGCCTCGTCCTGCTATTACTGTACAGTAGAGTAAAAATCCAACTGGGTCGAACCATTTGGGTGAAAGTCTTCATGGTTGGGAGATTTTCCACTCTTATTATGACTTTGGAACAAATAGTTTATATTTAATAAACATCCTAATGGGGCACTTTGTCATTTTTCATGCTTGAGATGAAAACTGAATATTGTTTGCATTCATCAGCATTTTCTCCCTCTTGACCACATTCTATTTTGTACTGATTATAATAGGATAAAATGTCACTTTTTAGAGTATTTACAAGCATTTCACACATTATTTTACCTCCTTTGAAGACAAGCAACTTGTGCATGCAGAAGGCAATCCCAGAATGCATTTCAACTCATTTAAAAAATCCATAAATGGTGGACAAGGTGAGAGAGATGTTAATTATGTGAAAATCATTTCTTACAATCCTAGAAATCAGTCAGTCATTCTAAACCCTGGGTTAAGATAATCCTGGGCTTCACGTTTGGTATTGCTCATAATTTACCCGGGTTATCAAGGTATTAATAAACTGCTGTCTCAGGCTAAAATTCCTATAACCCTGGTAATAATTTGCGGTGTCAGCCTCATTGATTGGAGGAACGCGGCACGTGACCTGATTAGCCTGCAAAGGCTAGCATGCTACTACTGAATACTTTTCGGACAATAAAGGTAAGAGAATGAAATCATATTTTCTTTACTCCATTTTACGCGTTTTCTGTCACCATTTGGCATTTTCTCCTCAAATGCTGAGCCTATTGTTTGTACAACACCCGCCGTTTCAGTGACTGTTCAAAGCCTGTGAATATGAGCCACATGAAGCTTCACAGAAAACAGCATTTACATTGATAAGAAGTTTATTATTATGAAAAATGCACAAAAAATACTATTTTAAAATTTTATATGAAATATATATATATATATATATTCAAAAACTCGTTTTACTCTAAAACTGCAAGAAAATCAAAGCCCTAAACGTAAACAAAGTTCTGTTCAAAATTTTAGCTTTCGGTAAGATTTTATTTGGCCGTAGTACCGAACACTTCCACTAGATGAAATTCGTCTCCCATTCATTTCCAATGTAGTTCATTTTGAGTGTGACTTTCCCTCGGTATAGTTCACCCCAAAATGAAAATTCTGTCAGTAATTACTCTCCCTCATGTTGTTCAACCCCGTAAGGCTTTCGTTCATCTTCGGGAAACAAATTAAGATATTTTTGATTAAATCTGAGAGCTGGATCACTCCTCCATAGGCTTCTAAGGGATTTAAAATTCCCGCCCCAGAAAAGTTATTAAAGACATCGTTAAAATAGTCCAAGTGACTACAGTGGCTCAATCTTAAGTTTATCAAGCGACGAGAATACTTTCTGTGCGCAAAAAAACAAACAAAAATAATGACTTTATTTAACTATTCATCTTCTTCTCTGTGGGGCTCGAGATAGGCTAGTTCACGTAGTGTAACAGCGCAGCGCTTCTGTGTTGTACGTCACACGCAGGCTCACTATTGGCCGACGATGGTCGTGTGTGTGACGTACAACACAGAAGCGCTGCGCTGTTACACTACGTGAACTCACTCGAGGCCCACAGAGAAGGAAATGAATAGTTGAATAAAGTCGTTATTTTTGTTTTTTGCGCACAAAAAAGTATTCTCGTCGCTTGATAAACTTAAGGTTGAGCCACTGTAGTCACTCGGACTATTTTAACGATGTCTTTAATAACTTTTCTGGGCCGGCAAGTTTCGATCCCTCAGAAGCCTATGGAGGAGTGATCCAACCCTTTAACCCTTTGAATCATGTCCGTGTGTGTGTATTCACATTGTAAGTGCCAAAACATTTACCATTAAGTTTGGTAGCCTACCAATGAAGTAAAAAAAAACAAAAAAAAAACATAAAATGTTCACGCTAACCGACCAGCACCAGAGGGTTAAAGCAACACCAAGTAGCTTTTCCTCTGCGGTCGCCCTACAGGTTGGAAGCGGTATTGTCCATTACCGCTGTCGTAAATAATTTATCCTAGCGCATCCTACTGTCGCACACATTCTTATGTCTCATTAGAACTACAGAAACTGGTAATCTTACATAGTGTGGTTATATCAGATAAAGGACCGCAAAGCGGAGGCATAAGTGCATTTCACCTTGTCACGACTTGATGAACCACTGAAACCATTTTGTAAACATTATTTTAAGGTAAAAAATCGTACTTAGTGTTGCTTTAACTGTCACGTGTGTCCCTGTAGTTTGCGCCTGGACTCGGTGTGATCTGATCAGACTCTACAGAGCTTTCTCCAGGATCTCGGCTTGTTTACTGACACTGAGCTGTGAAGGACGGTTACGAAACTCTCAGGCCATGTGTCTGTCTACCGGCGCTGAATGAATGAGTCTCTCTTCTGTCCACTCCTGCTCCTCTTGCAGATTCAGATGCAGATGTTTTTCTTGGTCTTTGCAAACATGATATAGGAAGTGAGACATGGATGCTTTAATTATCATTTTCTATTCTGTATAGTCTGTGTTCATGAAAGCAAACATTTGAACAGCAGCTCGCTCACTCATAGAGATGTTTAAAATCAATTTCCTAATGTGGGGAAAATATATATTTGAATATGTATATATGCCTTTGAGTGACAGTCTAAATTACTTTAATGGAGAGACACACATATATATATATATATACACTCACCGGCCACTTTATTAGGTACCCCATGCTAGTAACGGGTTGGACCCCCTTTTGCCTTCAGAACTGCCTCAATTCTTCGTGGCATAGATTCAACAAGGTGCTGGAAGCATTCCTCAGGGAGTTTGGTCCATATTGACATGATGGCATCACACAGTTGCCGCAGATTTGTCGGCTGCACATCCATGATGCGAATCTCCCGTTCCACCACATCCCAAAGATGCTCTATTGGGTTGAGATCTGGTGACTGTGGAGGCCATTTTAGTACAGTGAACTCATTGTCATGTTCAAGAAACCAATTTGAAATGATTAGAGCTTTGTGACATGGTGGAAGTAGCCATCAGAGGATGGGTACATGGTGGCCATAAAGGGATGGACATGGTCAGAAACAATGCTCAGGTAGGCCGTGGCATTTAAACGATGCCCAATTGGCACTAAGGGGCCTAAAGTGTGCCAGGAAAACATCCCCCACACCATTACACCACCACCACCAGCCTGCACAGTGGTAACAAGGCATGATGGTTCCATGTTCTCATTCTGTTTACGCCAAATTCTGACTCTAACATCTGAATGTCTCAACAGAAATCGAGACTCATCAGACCAGGCAACATTTTTCCAGTCTTCAACTGTTCAATTTTGGTGAGCTCTTGCAAATTGTAGCCTCTTTTTCCTATTTGTAGTGGAGATGAGTGGTACCCGGTGGAGTCTTCTGCTGTTGTAGCCCATCCGCCTCAAGGTTGTGCGTGTTCCGTGTTGTGGCTTCACAAATGCTTTGCTGCATACCTCGGTTGTAACGAGTGGTTATTTCAGTCACTGTTGCCCTTCTATCAGCTCGAACCAGTCTGGCCATTCTCCTCTGACCTCTGGCATCAACAAGGCATTTCCGCCCACAGAACTGCCGCTCACTGGATGTTTTTTCTTTTTCGGACCATTCTCTGTAAACCCTAGAGATGGTTGTGCGTGAAAATCCCAGTAGATTAGCAGTTTCTGAAATACTCAGACCAGCTCTTCTGGCACCAACAATCATGCCACGTTCAAAGTCACTCAAATCACCTTTCTTCCCCATACTGATGCTCGGTTTGAAGTGCAGGAGATTGTCTTGACCATGTCTACATGCCTAAATGCACTGAGTTGCCGCCATGTGATTGGCTGCTTAGAAATTAAGTGTTAACGAGCAGTTGGACAGGTGTACCTTATAAAGTGGCCGGTGAGTGTATATATATACATATACTGTATATATGTGTCCATTAAAGAAATTTAGACTGCCAGTCAAAGGTTTGGGGGTCGGTATAGGATTTTTGTAATGTTTTTAGTCTCTTCTGCTCACCAAGGCTACGTGAAAAATTGTGAAATATTATTACAGTTTGAAATAGCTAGTTTTCTATTTTAATATATTTTAAAATGTAATTTATTCCTGTGATCAAAGCTGCATTTTCAGCATCATTACTCCAGTCTTCAGTGTCACATGATCCTTCAGAAATCTCTCTAATATACAGATTTGCTGCTCAAGAAACATTTATGATTATTATCAATGTTAAAAACAGTTGTGCTGCTTAATATTTTTGTGGAAACCATTATAATTTTTTTCAGGATTCTTTGACAGAAACAGCATTTAGTTGAAATTGAATATTTTGTAACATTATCTCCAAAAAAAAAACGTTTAGCATACATTACTTGTTATTGCAGTTAGGTGCTATTATTATGCCAAAGATTATTAAAGATA